AGACACGCCGAAACGGATTACAGTTGTTGGTTTTCAAAATTTTCAAGCCTAATAGTTTTTCAAACTTCATTTTATGGTTGTTTGTGGCGTTTGAAATAAGGCTGGGTAAATGTATGTGTCTGTCACGAAGCTGTGATTTTGTCATTCACTGCAAGTATAAATTGCAGGATGAGCTACTACAAACTCTCCAATCTCCAATCTCCAATCTCCACTCTCCCCAATTAGTAAGGCACTGTGCCTGAGCTATAAGATATGAGACTTTAATAAAGTTCATTGTTATTAATATTAATATTAATATTATTATTATTATTATTATTATTATTATTATTATTATTATTATTATTATTATTATTATTATTATTATTATTATTACTAGTACTAACGAGATGAACAAGCCAACCCTTACGACAGCCCCTTTGGGAGAAATTTATCACCGCTTATTCATTCAGCAGTGTTTATTTTTGGTTGCAATTCGTTATTTTCGCGGGAAAAGTTGAGAAACTAAGTATATGCTATCACTTCTTAAAGCGAGTAGAAGCTAATACTTGTTGACCAATTACCTGCAATTATATATCGCCCAATACCAAACCGTATAAAGCATGACTTTCTATTTTGAAAGCTTGAATAATTACTAAGTTCGAAGAGTTTCCAGAACAGCTCATCATTTATTAATAAGAGTTGTCGTCAGTTACTGTTGTTAAGGTTACTTTTCGTGCCTTTTCTCTTCTACAGGAAGAATTACCCAAGGATGTGTTTCGCCTTGATCAAGCAACGATAAACGAGGAGGAAAATAGAACGTTACAACTAAGATTTACACAGAAAGAGGTAAGAAGCAAGAAATGATTTTAGGACTCATCGTTGACAACGATTTTCGATTAATTTACAAGGTTTCCTCAGGTAACAATTAATATCAATGATCAACAGACAGCTTTGCTGAGAATCCACAAAGAGTTTCTGCTAGCAACGTTGGTGTATTGTATTAACAGCAAAACAAGACAATTTGGTTTAAACAATTACAGTTGATAGGAGGAATTAGTCCACATGAAGCGAATTAAAGAATTGGGTTCCAACAATGGGCTACCGCTCAAATGTTTTCACTACGGCTATTTTAGTTTCTCTCCTTCAACTATCACAGCACTTAAACCTCTTTAATAATCTCTTCAATTTGGGGGGAACGAGCACGACGCGATAGCGTGGCCGGGGATTTAGGAAAAGGGAAGGGAGGGATATAAACAGGGATAGAAAAGGAAAAACACACCTCTTTCCCAGTTTACCTTATGTGCCCTTCACTGACTCAGTCCCCGAAACTAAATGGGTGTACAAATGTTAACCATCCACCAGCTGGGGCTAAAGGTCATTCTTCCCTTTCCTCAGACTAGTACTCTGTAACTTGGGGCGTCATATGTTAGAGCTGCCCGGCCAGACCAGTCCAGTCGTAAAGAAAATTCGATCGTCAATCAGGACTGACGCAGAACAGGCTATTCATGAAAATTATGCAGGCCGTGATGGGTTCAGTTTTCAGCAAAAACTTTCGAATAAAAGCCGATTTCATTATCATAACGACACGTATGGCCTGCCATGCAGTGCGGACCTTTAGCGAAGGCGTGACTAGCCTGTGTAAAGCCGGCCCCTCCCTTCCGAAGAGGTATACACAGGCTAGGAGTGGCAGAAGTTTACTATTTTAATCTGGCCCTCGTAGCTAGCGGGATTATTATACACTGGATAATCTTTATCCGCCCTGCTCAGGGTACTTTCTTGCGGAGCCGCCGAGCGAAACGAGCGAGCGAAACCGCGAGGGATTCAACCTGGGATTTCAATTCGACTTTTTCCCAATCTTCTTGCGACTCCGCCGCCAACAAACAAATGCAGCTCTCGCCCGCTAGTCTCGCCAGCTAAGCAGGTTATTCTGATCCAAAAAAGGAGTACGTTTGATAGGATGCTATAATCCATTTCAGATCTCCTACTTTATAAAAGTTTCCCCTGATTCAAAACTGAAGGAGCTGCAACAAGAGTTGGAGGCATCCGCTGACTGGTGGACAGAGAGAACAAGGACGTCACCTGGCTCCAGATTCAAAGACATAGTGCGCACGAACATGTTGACCAGCGGTGTCAGCAAGACAAAACGGAACCTCAAGCTCGCTCCATTGATTACAGCAGACATATGAAGGGATAAATGGCTTAATGAAGCCTGGATTTAGTGTAAAGGGAAAGAAACAACGATTCTTGCTAAGAACAATGTTCATTTAATTTTATGGTGGACGGCTGTCGTATAAAACAGGAATTTAACCCTTCAGTGTTCGGTTTTAAGCGGGTCCATGATTGCGTTTGAATTTGACCAACACAATGACAATTCGCCACTTTGGAAACGAGGAGACTGGGCCGAGTTAGCTTTCGCAAAGACGTCCGGGATCGTTACTGGATGGGACGCGCTGGTCAGCTATTGGCTAATGTTTTTTCCCTGTCCCCGGTAACAGACCCAGAAGGCTTTGTGGCAGTTAACTCGGCCTAGTTCCTTCCCATTTCTAAAATGGCGACTTCCAGGGGAGAGTATTTATTAGAGAGAAATAAATAATACCTCAACGCACCAATTAACGGGCAGCTTGTATTATACATCCTTTTTCCCCACAACGCGACCTTAAAAAGACAAGACCACTTGAAAAGAAATTTCTTTCAATCACTCTTGGTCTCGTTTAACCGACAGAAATCTTTTTCCAAGTTGTTTTGATTTCCAAGATCGCATAGCAGTGAAGGTAATGGTAATAAATAGCCATTAAACAGCGAAAAAAATGTACAACGAAATTTTAATTCAGGCCTGTAATCTTTTATTAAGCGTTCTCAAGAGATTGTTCTCTTAGAGTTCTACGGCGTTCTTAGTTATTTTGTAACTAGATGTCTGCTTTTAACTTATCTTAAATATGCCAGTTTAATAAAATCTCTTATAACTCTTTTCCCTGTTAGCAGGGAAATAACTCTTGCGTGAGAATTAAATTAAAATTTTTTTCTAACTAAGGATAGCAAGTGGACGAATAAACTGTTAGTATACTACCGTTCTCTTTCTATGTACGACAAGTACCTACTCAATCAGATAAGCATAACTTTGTTGTAAGTAAAAAACCCTGCCAGAAAACTTCGATCGTTAAAAAACAATCCATCTACGAATTGGAGGTACCCAGAAGCTGTATCTGGAATTGAAATTGATTCCTTCTGTGGTCGCACTTTCTCTAAAAACACTTTGACATTCTAGTAAACAACAACAAAAAACAAGCCAAACATTACAAAACAAACCACTTGGCAAATAAAATGTCAAAACTTGTACTTTTTGTAAAATTGCTTTGGTTCGGCTGGTGTTAGTCGCATAGGTATCCTTACTATGCACTTGCAATTGGAAGTCGTTACACGTATGAAAAATGGTGGTGTGCACTGGCAATAAACTCGTAAATGGACGGTATTTATATACTAGAGTGGTTTTTCGTATGATCGTAAATTTTTCTGAAGATGACAAAGTATAAACAAAATGACTGATAAGAAACAATTTCATTAGCTCTACAAACCGAGGTAAACGCGCGCAACTCAGGTTGAGCCACAAGTTAAAAAGTTGAAAGCTTCTTTTGATCCTGTACAAAACAATAATAAAAAGTCTAACAAAAATTGTTTGAAAAAATTTTTTTCACGGTAATGCGACAATATGTGGTCGTTTCTCATACCGTGAGGGTTGTCATCTGGTACTAAAACTTCTGCATGTCTCGTTAATGTGGCTTCAAACGTATTTAATATTTTACCAGCATTGATATATTATTTTCAAATGATTGTACAAATTCTCTAATTCAGCGTGGGCGTTTCAAAATTTTTCTCTTTGAAATTTGTCAAATTTAATTCTTTGACTAATTAATGGATAACGGATTTGGTGCTGCACAATATAAATATTTTTGGTCCATCTTAATAAACGATTTGAGAAAATGACAGCACAATAAATGTAAATAATATTTATCTTAGTCTTTAATTGTAGTAAAACTCTTTATAGATTACCGAACAAAGTAATCCACGGTGAAACCCGAATTAAGCGCAGGTCACGTCCTAAAGTTGCCCTTAAATCTTCCCTTAAAGTAACTCTTACGATGTTAAGAGGAAACTGACGATAGTTCGTCGGTGCCCGCTAAATACAGATTTTACTGTGTGTAGTTTTTTTTATTCACGTACAAAATTGGCTAGAAAAAGCAAAACCCATTTTCTTGAGCTAAACAACTATAAATAAATTTTGCCTGTGTAGTCTTTTTCGAAGAACAAAAGGTCTTACACCAGCTCATTCTGGTATCATGTAAGCTGAAAACGAACTTCGTTCCGGATTGAAAATTATAAATCGTGTAGTCTGGGACGAGCGGCGCATGCGTATCTGATCTGGCTCGAAAACCACGCGAATGCAGTACGAATTTCATTCTGGAACGAAACTCATTCCGGAAGAAAAGTCATTCCGGTATCATATAAACAGCCCCTAACTCGGGGATTTTCAAGTCGTCGACAGCGATTTGGCTTCCAGGCCTGTGTCTGTGTCGCAGATACTGGTGATTATCATCATGTGGCTTCTGAAAAGGAACAAGGCATGAATAGGCGTAATTAATTGCACAAATTATTGAGTTTGGACTCGTAAATCGTGTCGCAGAAGAATTATTCTTATTGCTGTTAATTCTGGAATCACTTCTCTTGAGATAGGATCTGGACGCACAGTTTGCTGGCACTTAAGGGAAGCTAAAACGGAACGGGCGATTTTTCGTATTCAGGGATTATGTACCAAAATGCCACCGCCAATAATCTGATTGCAGAACGCTAAACGCAAGGAACATTTTTCTGAATCATTACACAGCATAAGGAAGGAAAAATACAAGTTAAGGAAGATAAATCCTGGGGATAACCATCTAAAAAATTATCAAGTTTTAAAACGGCAGGAAATAATTCCCATGAACTTAAATCTGATCACAGTTAGTTCCAAAACGTTTAAGAGAGAAGACAGTAGTAGGCTGTCGAAAAACAGAAAAACTAAGAGGCACCGTACCTGTGTCAGGGGTGTGAAGATTCACCTTCAGTAAACCTGGTTCCTCTACTCCTTTTTCTAAAAAGACAAGAAATTCATGTTATATGAACATATTTCGGGCTAAAAATCTCCTATTGGTTCTTTTGGTGTATTTTCCACGATCCAGCGTCGAGTAACCAAGCCGACCCCGTTTGGGCGGGAGCAAAAAGTAACAAGAAGATGGGGAGTGGGGTGGGGGAGGAAAGGAAACGCGATCTCGAACCGCAGATTCGACTTCATGTTCTGTGCTTAACTTATAGACCTGGCCACAGTTGTTCAAAAGTTGGATAGCGTATCCAGCGGATAAATCCCTATCTAGTGGATAGGGCAATTGGTTCTCCTAATACTTATCCACTGTATAGTGATTCATTCGGTGGATAGCGCTATCCATCTTTTGAACAACCCAGGCCAGATGGGCAGTAGCCTGCGCCGTAGAGGTCATCTAACCTCTGTTAGTAACATATTTGAAGCAGCGCCGATAACCTTGTTCCGACGAATTACTGGAAATGCGTTTCGAATTTCCCTTCAACCTGATTAGCAAATCGACAATGGGTTTTTTAACAGGCCAATCATGGCGCGTATTCGAATCATGGTACACTGGTGGAGGCCCAGAACAAGGATTTCGGCGCTGTTTCGCAGACGGACTTAGTTCCCGTTTTTGGAGCAGGCTAGATGGACAGTAGAAATAAAGAACAATTTATACATTAGAGACCTTTACGGGGCGGATCTAGGGGGAGGGTGCAGGAGATGACCTGCGGTTTTCTAATACAACTGGTATTCTGCAAAAAAAAAAAAAACTATGTGGTTTATTGGTGTTGAAGTAGAGCAAGAGAAGAGTGCACCCCTCCTAAAAAAAATCCTGGATTCGCCCCTGCTTTAGATTCGAGGACGAGAACCACTACGAGTACGAGATTTGATTTAAATTTTTTTCGCGTATTGTCAAAAAATAGACACCCCGGAATTCTTCATTGCACTTGTTTTCACCAGAAAAGTTAGAACTGTTATCGTTATTGAAGGAGCTTGAGCCCTCTACCGATTGCAAAATGCTAAAACTTCTAACATTTGATAACTTGTTCCCGCTACTACGACACTCTCGTTAAAACTCGTAGTAGAATGACGACGGCTACCACGTTTTCTCGCCAAAATGACGCTGCCTAGAATCTAAAGCTCTCTGTCATTTGCGCTTCAACTACAAGAAATCGGCTTGAGAGTGGGACTTGAAAGGCGGAATAACCTTACTACCTTTTACCGAGCCCAGGCACGACCTCAGTAAGCCAAGAAAAAGCAGTTTTAGGCTCAACTTACCTTGAAACAATTTCCGCAGCATCGAGTTTTGCCGTACCAACAGTTCCTCCCGCGCCTTTGATCTTCTTAGCTCTATTTGTATGTTTTGAAACTGTTCTTTTACCGAGACCACTTCCTTCTCAAGCGTGGAATATCTCTCTTGAGACTTCTCTAAATCACACGTCATCTGCAAGTGTTCAGACTTTGCACCATCCAGTTCCTTTTTTAATTTGTAACATTGGTTCTGTAACACATCGAGCATATTTCCCTGTGTAAAGATATTCTTCTTGGAATTCTCAAGTTTTACCTCTAGAGCTTGGCAGTGTTTCTTTCTTGCTTCGAGTTCGCCTTCAAGTTGTTGAAACTGCTCACGGGTGTTGTTGAGCTGGTTTGTTACATGGTGAAAGCGTTTCTTTGTGTTTATAAATTTCACTTTCTGTGTGCAGTACTTGAGCCTAGCGCCGTTTAACTCTTGTTGTAAAACGCGACAGTACTCTTGGGAGCCTTCAAACTCACTGGAAACATTTCTGCTTTCTTTCTTTGCGTTTTCTAACATTTCTTTCAGAGATTCGCACCGTTTCTTAACAGATTCCAGTTCATTTTCCAGCTGATTACATTGTTGTCTGTACAAAGTCACCTCTTTTTCTATGACTTCGCATTTTGCGTTCGACTTGTGAAGTTCTTCTTCTAAAGACGAACACTGAGCCTTAGATTCTGCTAGTTCTTCGGCTAAGATATTAACTCTCCTCCTACATTTCGAGCTGCGTCGCTTTTTGCGCGAACTTCCTGTTTGCTCTCTAGAAATAACAAGATACGTTTCATCGCGTTGAACAACCGAACACGCCGAAGTTTTTCCGATCAATCTCCAGCGACGAGCAAGTCGTAAGGCTTCGTAGGCCTTCCCAATCAAGTCCGGAATCAGACGTAGAACAAGGTCGAAGTCGTGTATTCTATTTCTTATGCCGACTGGATAAAGACCTTCGGAGCTCAATCGACTAAACAACCTCTCGTCTATCACGCCAGAAGTGAGAAGAGTATTCCAATGATTTAAGACTTTCTCCAGATCTTTTGGAACGCTTTTAAGGTGTGACTGTACTTTTTCGTTTCGGAAGAAATCATTCAAAGGTTGGTAAATTCCCTTTCTGAAACGTTCGAGTAGATTTTCAAAGCTCATGCAGAACTCCTCGAATCTTTGAAGCACATTTGAATCGGGCGAGTTGGACTGGCTTTTTGGCACCAAAATCCCGCGAAGTTGAACATTTCTTTCCCACGAGGCTAGCTCGGAAACGTATCTGAGGGGGACAAAATTAAACAAAAAAAATCCATTATGACATTACTAAGCTAGAGAAAAAAACAAGCGGTAAAAAACGTGACATGGCGGTCACGACAAAATGATTGAAAATCGCTCATTTCTTCATCATTTAGGCCACGTTCACCCTAAGACTTTATCGCGAAAATCCGTTTTGAATTCGTGTTTAAAATCTCATCAAAGCTCCTCCTCTACACTAGCATTTTCCCATCAATCTTTCATAAAAAGACGCAAACTGGAACACTGGTAAAATACTTTCATTCCCAGGCTATTCTCGGTTGTGTTGTTTCCCGCCAAGTTGCTTTGCATGAATCGTTGCATGGTTGTTTGCGGACCCGGATCTCCCGGATCACGCATCAGTAGCTATGACGTAAGTGTTTTCAAAAACCTTCCTTGTTGTGGCCACAGCGTTTTCAAAGATACTCCACTTAACTTTCCAGAGCGCTTCCGAAAAAACTTCGTTTCCATGATGTTCCTTATCTGTTGTTGTCGTATTAATGAGGAAGAACGGCCCGCAAAACGGATATTAATTTTGCACTCACTGATTCATGAACGGTATGCGTGTTGAGACAAAACGTATAATTAGCGTGGAAGGGGTCTTAGTTTCATTGAAATTTAAGTTTATTTGTGTTTAAATTTCTGATGGTGAGATCCTTTCTTCCCTCATAATCCTCTTTAAAGTTATTATTTGCCCTAATCAAAGTTTTTACTCGTCGAAAGACAAAAGGCGGGAGTTTTTACTCATCTTGCGTTTCGACAACCTGAAGAGAGGTTTAGCTATGACGTACGTGTTTTCGAAAACCTTCCTTGTTGCGGCTAAAGCGTTTTCAAAAAAACTCCACTTAACTTTTCAGAGCGTTTCCGAACCGAATCTGTTGTTGTCGTTTTAATGAGGAAGAATGGCCCACAAAACGCATAATTTTGATTTTTTGCACGCACTGATTCATGAACCGTATGCGTGTTAAGAAAAAACGCATAATTAGCGAGGAAGGGGTCTTAGTTTCATTGAAATTTAAG